ATGAATGGAGGAATTTTGTTCGAAAATTTGCTGAAATTTTTAACAAATTAGTTTAGGGCTTTAGTTTCATTAGATTCAAATTGCAAAATTAAGTTGTTAATTGATGTTATCGTTTTTAAAATCAAATAGTTTGGTTCCAAACAATAGAAAACCCTAATTTTTGTTTACCCCAATTAAATTTTCATTGTTAATTCATCAATTTTGGTTCAATTAGTTTGAGATTAAATACACAAAACTTGTTTTGATTGTTTTTTCCAATTAAAATTTGAACGAATATTCATTTAATTTTGGTCGTAATTTATCCAAGGAACGGCGGCGGTGGTGGCACATTAAGGGACTAGGTCTGGTGGTTTGCTGGGTGCGGTTTGTAGGGTGAGTGCGATGGCTTGGGTAAAGTCCCGTGGCTGGAGTGGGGTTCGCTTGGTAGGTGGGTGGGTTTTGAGGAGGGAAGGGTTGATGGTGGGTGGATTTGCAGGAGAAAGGGTTTTATTTTTATTTTTGTAATATTAACAAAAGTTAACGGTGTTAACTTTAGGATTAGTGGTGGGGTATAACTGATTAAAAATTAGCAGTTTTGGGGAACAACATAGAATTTTCAGTTAAAAGGCGTGGGTACAATCTGAAAAACCCAACACTTGAGGGGCAAAGCTTAGAAAAACCCTTTTTTATTATAAATTTCAGCCTGGTTCGAAAAGCCCACTATTTTTTGCCCAAAATAGCGGCTTTGGGTGCAACTTTTTTTGGCTCAAATTAAAGCTTCGACCCAAAATAAGGAAAGGAGGAACGATATGTAACAAGGAGAGGAGATCTAGGTTAGGGATGATAAGGCAGTGAAGGGAGAAGAGGAGAAAGAAAAGGTCTGATGTGGCGGTGGCTATGCAATGAAAGAGGAGATAAAGTAGGTTTTGAATAAATTAGAGATTAAGTGGATGGTTTTCAATTAAAATGTGCGTGTTTTACACCACCCTCAAGTCCTCAACCACGTTGTTGCCTTAGCTAGCTCTATACAATAATTATTAACCACGATACTAGCCGCCACTCCATCAAAACCACCACTCTATCACAACCAATATCCTCCTTCTAGCCTAATGTTGCCTCCTTTGAGATGTACCTCACATTGTGAAACATTGTAAAACCATCAAATGTAATACGTCTTACATTACACAACCAATATCTAATAATTTCCACCATGTACATATATCGCTGGACTTTACAAATTATTTCCATTTTGAATTGCATGACTTAAACCCAAATGTACCCTACATCCAATTATAAATATTGATCTAATACAAAATTAATTTATTGAACTCGAACCAACCTAGATTGAAAATAAATTTTATTAAAATTGATCTATTTATATTTATATAAATGCTAATTAAAATTAGTGTGGAATCAAATCAATCCCATTTGACCAAATTAGTTTGAATTTAACTCCATTCAAATTAAATGACCTATGTTCAAACTTTAATCAATCACAAAGAATGTATGAAATTATTTAAGATGGCCATAAAAATGATAGGGATATTGTGAAAGTTTAAGATGACTCCTTATTACCGGTGTAAAAGTTTAAGGGGACAATATGAATTGGTGAAAAGAGGGAAAGGAAAAGACATTACTCATTAGTCATAGAAAAGGAGGGGGGAAGGGGGTGGAAGTAACCAAGATATAATGCTTTCTCCATTCTTTTGATATTGTAACTTGATTGAAATGGGTTGGACTTCATAAAGCACAATTTAAACTTTAAGGAGTTGTTTTATATATATATTGAAAGTAGAGTGAAAAGGAAATAAATAAGAGGAAGAAAAGGAATTATTTAACTCTTATCTTTTTATTTGTTTGGTTTAATATGTATGGAATGGAATCACTTAAACCTAACTCCCATTATTTATGTTTGAAGAGGATAAGTGTTGTTACCTTAGGTTTTTTTAGAGAGGTAATAAACAGGCGGGAACCATTACTCCTAGGTAATGCTAATTGTTACCCAAACCCTGTAACCAAACACTTGGTAAAGGTAATAGTTAAATTAAATCTGTTTCCAACCCAACAAAATCTCTTACCAAGTATGCTCTAATTGTCTATATTATATAATGGTAAAAATAATAAAAGTTCAGGATTGTGAATGTATACATCAAGACAATGAATTCTAAGACTCTAATAACAAGATCTCACGAGAGACATAACTATATTCTTTCTTACGTATAATTATTCACCATATGTAGTTAAATAGAAGATTTTAACCGACGTCAAAAGTGTAAACATTGTGATATTTAAATCGCGGGAAAAAGTATATATCATCATAAGCTAACTATAATTTAAGTCATCATTTCTAAACAAATCCAATCTTAAGATTTTCTTTAATGATCCAAATAAAAGAATATTTAAGCAAAAGCATTAGATTTTAAGATTTCTCATCATTTCTATATTTCTACCACACAAAGCTAGCTAGAGCTTATTAGGTCATTTACTATTCATATAATACTGGTACTAAATAAAAGATGTATTTTTTTTACAAATAAATTTAGTTAGGGTGATGGTATTAACATATATACGCATCAAATACATTAATAAAATGAGGTAAAGTGAGAATTTATGACAAAAATACACATAGACTGGTGCACTGGCTTTGAGTTTACCCCACTCGCTTTACTGAAGTTTAGCTCCGATTATATTTAGATCCGACCCGAGTTGCACACCTGGCTATACTACCTCAGCTCCCTTAAGCGTCAGCAAGCTGCTTACCACTTGAGCCAACTCTTGTTGGACTGGTGCACTTGTTGCTTAGGGTCTGTTCTCTTCGGCTTAATTTTAGTTCACTTCAGTTCAATTCCTAATTTCCTTCTCTTATAAACAGTTCAGTTCAACTCAGCTCAGTTCAATTCAGTAAATGAGAACAGACTCTTAGACCCTGTTTGATTCACCTTAAAAAATAATATTAAGTAAAAATAATTTCAGTTCAGTAAAATTAATTTCAATTCAGTAAAAATAATTTCAGTTCAGTAAAAATAAGTTCAGTTCAGTAAAATTCAGTTTTCTTAAAGAAGAATTATAATAGAAAATCAGTAAAAATAATTTCAGTTCAGTAAAAATAATTTAAGTTCAGTAAAAATAATTTCAGTTCAGTAAAAATAATTTCAGTTCAGTAAAATTAAGTTCAGTTCAGTAAAAATAAGTTCAGTTCAGTGAAAATAATTTCAGTTCAACAAAATTAAGGTGAATCAAACAGGGCCTTAGTTATTCTTGATTTTTTCATTTTCAACTTCTAGATAAAAATATTTGAATGCAAATCATAGCATCCAACCGTTTGATTATTAGTCCCTTAGTTCAGTTAATGAAGTTATGATAATACAGCCAAATCTAATTAAACAATAGATAGATTAGGAAAGAATTCTACTTAATTAAGTCATTCAAACCAAAAGAGCCAAAAGTCCAAAACAAAAGCAAAACATTTTAAAAAATTTAACTTACAAACTCCTCAACAAAGGAATAGGATACTCCTATTTCTTGTACTTATCTTCCTTTGCCAGCCTGTTCAAGTGTTCAACCTTCCAAATATAACATTATTTTACAAACTCCCAAGTAAAATGCAATTAACAATCTAATTATAAACAAGATTACGCTAATTCAAAACCCAATAAAATATATTAAATTTATTTTAATTTATAGAAAAATTAAAGGGAAATTAAAAATAAAAATAATAATAAAAAAAATCTCATACATAAACAGTGACACAGGGCACAATACACAGAGCCCTAAAGATTCCTGCAATCGTGCACTTTGTCATACGTGTGGCATCCCATCTAATCTAAAACCAACCCCTTTTTTCATTTTTTTTTCATTTTTTTTGCTTTTTTAATTTATTAAAATTAATTTTTGAAAAATCCATAAAAAATGTCTTTTCCTGTCAAATACTGACTGCCATGAAAGTAAGAAAGAGAAAGTATGTTGTTTTATAGAGAGAGAAAGGTGGGGCCCACAAATGAATTTGTTTGGGTTATAATGGAGGGTGGCATCACTCACATGGGGGGTGGGAGGCGTTGGTGGATGGGTCTCACCATCAAACCCACAAGAGACGGGTCCCTTTATTTAAAAAAAAAATTATAAAAATTATAAAAAGAAATTAAATTGAATATAAATAAGATTGACCCCACATGTACTGTCAGCTCCCCCATGTGACTCTTCTCTGTTGTGAAACTCTCCTTCTTGGCCTTGGCTTTGGCCCCTACCCTCTCTTTCTCACCACATTATTTTCCATTTATAATGATTTGTGTGTATATACTTTCATTGTCATCTCCATATGCTACATTGTTTGTGATTAGACCAGCGTGTCATAACTCAGATGATTAGAGCTCATTTCTCGATTCAGGTGATCCTAAGATTGATTTTCATTACTCACTCTTTGCGGCTCTCTAAACACAAAAGATAAAACACTGTTTGTGATTAGCCAACGTTTTATTCTCCCTATTTCAATTAAGTTGAAATACATTTTTGTTAAATGGATCTTTATCACAATATTGAATGAATCTAACAAAAAGTGTTACCTAGTAATAACAAGAAAAAAAATCTTTCAATCTTAAGGTTTGATCCCACTAGGAGCAATTTGAGGTTGAAAATCCCTCTCTTCCACTCTTTCAAGTGTCTAGGCTTCTAAACGAGTTATCTTGTGAAAGATTAGAGAGTAGACTAATAGGATAATCTAAGTAATTTCTTTGTCGGTGTGCTTGTACATGGAAAAGACAATTTTAGAGGGACGGAGAAAGTGGTTAGAAGTGTATACCTCAAACTATAATATAGGTCATTTGTCCAAGCAATAAATAGGCTAAGATACTAATCTAAAATGAAAGTGAGTTATGAGAGAGTGGTGGGGGAGTAATAGGGGAAAAAAGACAAATTTGGATTTGTGTAATTGAGGAAATGAAGCTGCAACAAGGAGACAAATTGTCCTATTTCAAGAGGCAACAAATTATATAAATAAATAAATATACATATATTTTGTATATATAAAGCATTAATTCATAGCTGGATTGCACTTAAATAGAGACTTGTTCCCATTATAAATTCCCTTTTTCTATTTCTTTCATCATTTTTTTAAGAGAAAGTCTACAGAAGTATACAATAATAACATCAATTTAACTAATTAAATAAAACCCTAAAAAAAATTACAAACTTCTATTTTTATACTTGATAATCTGAGTTCTTCAAACTTTAGATTTTGCTTCACACCTTCCCATTGATACAACCTTCCAATTTCCTCCAATTCTTCTGTTGTTAAATTGCTATTTGTTCTGACTTTGTGCTGCTTGGCTGTACAAAATAAGGACCTTTTTTTTCCTAGTAATTTATATTTTTTTAAAAAAAAGACTAAAAAAACCTATATTTTTTTAAGGGCTTGTTTGTCTCTCTTTTTGTTTTACCCAAAAAAATAGCCCATAAATAGAGAATAAAAGGAAGGGTTAAAAAAGGAAGGGGAAGGTTGAAAATTACAGTGCTGAGTTACTGCGACCAATTATTATTACTATTATTAGTACTACACACTAATCATTCACTTTCTTTTTTTTACCTTTGGGTTGTATTACTGTGGACCCCACACTCCAAAACTTCCAACTACAGAATCAGAGATTTTTTGGGGGAGAAATAGTAGTACAACAAACAAACAGGGCATAAATAAACTGACCCCACTTCTTTCTTTTCTTTCTCTCTTTCTAACTGCCTTTTATCTTATGTATTGTATGGTAATTATGGTACTACCACTTCTACTAACACAACTACTAGGAACTTTGGTACACTATTTGGTGGTGATGATGATGGTGGAAGTTTTCGAATGTGATGATGGTGGTGGCGATGGCAGTGGCGAAGCTTTTTTTTATTTTCAGTTTTATTTTTATGTTATGTTCCTCAAACAAGAACACCTTGGATGACTGGTATACAGAATGGATTGTAACACACTTCTTTCTCAATCGTTCCTGTAAAATAACAAAAGCAAAAAAAAAAACACCAAAAGAACAAAACATAAACAAATTTTTCGTGCTGTAGTGATGTAACAAGGAAATAATTCTATTAGATTTAGTGATAACGACGTACCTTGAATAATGATTAATAACGCCAAAACCTCGCCTTTTAGCCGCTACCTACATACCAATAGCGCCATGACCAGGGGAAAACCTGCACCAAAAGCCCAACACTAAGTTTGCTAGTAATCAAGGAGTAGTAAAACTAGTAATAGATGCATGTACCAATTTAGTCTTGGAGAGTATCAAAAGCATTCAAATTATTTTGGGTTGATAGATTTAGCATAATTTTAGGCCTTTTTCCACTCTAATGCTACCTGCTTTCAAAATTGGTGGAGCCCTTCCCCCATGATTAATAAAAAAGCCCAAGTTATTTTTCAAAAAATTTTAAAAAAAATTATGTGTCCAATGATTTTCTCCATGGAGAATAACTTTATATCAAGGTCCATCCCCTCATTATATCAGTAGCATAGCTCACAAAGAATAATTGTTTTCAAATGGAAGAAAAAACACTTTGCATCAAGTATACCTAGGCAATTGGAAGTAGCATGATGACTTGAAATCCAATGCGGTTGTGGCAGGATGGAAGGAGGAAGCCTTGGCGTTACCGTTAGCAGAAGCTGTACCTAGGTTAGATAACATCTCCACCTCGCTCCCGCTACCAACATTGTTACCCACAAAGGTATTCAAGTACTGGCTCGCTCCTTTCCTAGGGGAAGCGAAAGGACTATCAGGGAGATTATGCTCCAAGCTACATTTATGAACACAAAAAAAGGAACAAAAAGGCATAAGCATTTTTCTTGTTTGAAAATTGATCTATACTAAAGCAAACTTTGGTCCCAAAAGTTTGCAACATGTTTAGTCTCCTAGCTTACAACTAATTTAGATTGGGTAATCTTCATAATCGTACTATATCACAAATGCATTGCCTAGAAATTTCATAATCTTATGGTTCTCAAGTGTGTGACATAATTTCTAAGATGGGTAACTTCCGAACCAATAATGAATCGGTTATGAAAAAGGAGGTAAAAATAGTCACCTTTCGGGTAAATGGATGATGTTATCTTCATGACATGGATTGTCATTGCCATTGCAGTTGTTGCTATTTTCCTCCCCACCAACAGAACCTTCCTTTTCTCTGTCAGTTACCTCATTTATAGCCTGTTGCAATGCTTGTTTGGCGTCATTAAGTGGGGGGCTACCACAGTTTTCTGGGGCAGAAAAAAATGCAATCCGTTCAATACAACTTAACAAATTTACTACAATAAATGCTGCTGTTCAACAACTGAGCAATTTGGCACTGAATTTCCTGGACTGAATCTAATGTTAAAAGATTAATGAAGGGAGCTAGTGTATACCATCTGAAGCATCTGGACTGCTGCGGTCGGAGCTGAGGAGAGACTGATTGAATATGCTGTTAGGAGACTGAGTCGGAGAATGGATCGGTGGAGCACCAGTGGAGAGCGAATGGTGGTGATGGTTACGCTTAACATCAAGGAGCTGCAAACCCATCAATCTACGGCTTTGCAGCTCCAAAGCTTGCTGTAAATCAGCTTGCTCCTCTAGCTTCCTCCTCCACAATATGTATTGTTGTGTATCATACATCATTTTTGCACCTAAAATTCAATTTGAAGTTAAATAATGTTAAAAATAAGTGCAATAATACAAGTTCCAACATGAACAGAATAAAAAGATTATCTTTATTTTTTCTTTTGGGAATCTTTCTTACCAAGTGGAAGATCAAAAGGGTCCCTAGAATCAAGGGCAGTGGGAGAATTACAAGATGAGAACTCTCCCCTTTCCATCTGCTGTTGTTGCTTCCTGGAAGAAATACCAGTAAATCTAAGCAAACTATATTCGCGAAATTATCAAAAGATAAAAGTTTTAGTCAAAATTCGACGAAAATTACCTGAACTTATCAGGCACTTTGCCCTTCTCCTTGTATGGTTTGACTAAAACTCGAGCATCGCAAACGAAATGAGGATTGCCCTTAGCCAGTATGATCTTAACAGTCTCAGGATAAACAAAGGTCACAAATCCAAACATACGCTTCTGCTGATATGGTATTCTCACATCTTGAACTGGCCCATAAATGCTACAAGAATCATGCCAATCAATTAAAATCAAAATGATTTTTTTTACTCTTTTTGGGTAAATCATTAATTTGTAAATACAAGGCAGCAAACAAGGAAATTAAACAACATAATCATCAAATTGCATGATAATTTAATAATAATTTATAAGACATCATCACTATCATCATCATCATAATCAATTATAGTCAATGGTAACAACAAATACCTGAAATAGCTGGAAACATCCTCTTCCCTAAATGTGCTATCAGCTGGAAAAGTCAAGTAGATCTGCCTCGAAGCCGGGCTCGAATCACCCCGGCCGCTATCTAGCCCTCTAGGGGACCGGCTAAACTTGTGTAGATCATCCCCCATCATCAAGGCCGCCGCAGCTGCAGCAGCAGCTCTACAATCAAAAGACAATCAAATAGTCAGTACATTAAACTAACTTCACCAATCTAATCTAAAAAAAAGCTGTTACTAATGATTATTAGTACCATTTATAGAAATTTTACCTTGGAGAATCATTTTGCTGTTGTTGAGCAAATAAGCTTAATCCCTTGCTCATTGAGTAAGGAAAAGAAGCTGATGCAGAATTTGGAGATGAAGCTGAAGCAATGGCAGCAGCAATGAGCTTCTGCTGTTGCATGGACATGGACTTGGATCTGAGCAGCTCATGGCAATGTTCCATCATTTCTAGCTTACTCGGCGAACCCACCAAAGCCGCGGCTGCATCCGAGTCACTCATCATCCCACCACCATGAACAAATCTACAGCTAGAGCCATTCTTGCAGAAGCCTCTAGCATAGTAGAGACAAGGCTTCCACCCTAACCCGGAAGCCGGGTCATCCATCAATGATGCCAAGTTAATATCACTAACTGAGCAACTCCGCCTGTGGGGGAGTCCTCCACTACCTCCACCCCAGGCGGAGGATGCGGAGTTGGCGACTCCGTGATGACCGAAGTCGCCAACTCCGCCACCCATCTCGAGCTCGGCCTGTGAGAAATACAGGTCGGTGCTCTTAGACCGGAGAGTAGGAGAATTATCATTCAAAAACGACAACTGCTCCTGGAGCTGAAACTCATCCATCAACTCACCACCACCCCTCCCAACACCACCCCCACTACTCCGACTAACATAAAAAGGCGGGGTAGAAGGGTTCAAGGTAGACGGGTTCGACGTAGTATTAGCGCTGCTAGAACTCATACAAGCAAAGCTATTCCCAGAATTTGACATAGGGCTAATCAACTCATCTTGGTTACGACTATAATCAGCAAAAACAGAACCACCCCACGAAGGCAAAGAAGCAGAAGAAGGACTACTCAGTGTAGGTAAGGTAATAGAACTAGGAACCTTAATACCATTAGGCAGAAATCTAGAAGAAGATGAGGAATTTGTGGAATTCTGCCTACTAGAAAAGTTATTACTACTGCCATTATTATTAATATTGTTGTTTGCATTAGAAGACGGAGTAGTAGAGGGCGTATTTGGAGAAGAAATACCCAATTCTTGCCTAGCCTTAACTACTACGGAGTGAAGTAGATTCTCCGGTCCAAACGCTAATCGTATCATTTCCTTCTCACCATGATCTTGAATTAGTAAAAGACCCATAATCTTAGAAGCATTTTCCGGATCCAAACTTTGTACTCTTGAAAACACTACCTTTGTTGCTTCATATGGATCCATTTCTTATCTTTTCTTTCTTTCTCTTCTCTAAGTTTCCAAATTCTTCCACAAAAGAAGATAAATCACCAAACCTTAATTATTGGAGCAATTAACTTTTTTGTTCCTGCAAAATAAAATAAAAAATTTTAAAAAGGAGGAAAAAAAAAGAGTGTGAGTGAGATAATGGAAAGTCAAGCCCAAAGTATTCAAAAAAAAAAAAAAAAAAAAAAGTGTATTCTCGTGGGAGTTGAATAAAAAGAAGAGAGAGAGAATTTTATTATTATTATTATTTTTATTTTTTTACAAAAGCATATAATAGTGACTGAAAAAAGTTATTGCAGAACAGCTCCCATGCATTTGCTGCTACTTTTTATCTAATTTTATGTAATTTGTTAATTCATAAATGAAAAACATAATAAGAAGTGAAACCTTACCAGTTATAATAACTCCATGAAGTTTGAACAATAATTAGTCATATAATTCATACAAATCAATAATCTTTGATTCTAATATATACCACCAACATAACATCTATACAAGCGTTGCGGAAACATCGCCTTGTTGTTGCTGTAGTTGATTCGATTCGAACATTATGCCAGCTTCAAAACCCATCAAAATAAACACTCAATAATTTCTGGTTTTTTTTTTTTTTTTTAATTTCTGATTTTAGAGAGAGAGTTTGTTTATTTTTGTTACTAGTGTTTGAGGAGAGCTCTCACTCTCAACTTCTATTAAGAGATGATTGTTTTTAGTTGAGTGTTTTTTCTCTCTCTAAAACAAAGGAAAGTAAAGTGTTTTTCTCTCTCTAAAAAAATGTAAAATGTAAAAGAAAGAAGTAGTCAAGTTGAGAAGTGAGAGTTGGGGTTATAATTGAAGGGAGAGTGAGAAGAAGACAGCGGATTCAGATCTGGTTCATATAAACAGCACGTTCTCTCTCTCCTCTTTTCTTCGTTATTTTCTCTCTCTAAACCCCCTTTTTATCTTCTTCTTTTCGGCCTATTTGCTCTCCTAACGTTCATATTAATTTATTCTTATTTTGTTTTATTGATTCATTAATTAATTCTTAAGTATTTATTTATGTGACTATATAAACTTCATAATTAATTCATAGTGTTAATTAAGATAAACTATAAAATTCATGCAAGGGAGTGTTTTTTGTCATCTTATCTCAATTTATATCAAAGATGTTTAGACAATGGTGTCATGAATCTCATTATATCTTCTATACTAATACACGTGGCTCTCATCACAAGGTTTGAACTTACAACCTCTAATTCTAAGAATAAGAGTCTTGCCATCGAGCTATGTGAATTTTTATGTAATCTTTTGAATAAAAAATATTAATATGTAGCAAAGGACAATATGAACAATTGTTAAATCAGAGGGAAATTATGTAAATATTCTCTATATTCTTCTCATTAATATTCACGGCCAATACAAATATATATAACACTAAGAGTAACAAACCCCTAAGCCCTACAATATTCTACTATATCTTTTCATAAGATATATTTCCTAAATTATATCACAATAATATCATAGAGTATCTAGAATATCTCTAATAGCCCCTCCTCAAGTTGGAGCATACGGATTATAGATGCCCAACTTGCGGAATAGAAAATCAAACTTGACCTTTCCTAAGGCCTTTGTGAAAATGTCAGCCAACTGAAGCGTAGTAGGAACATAGGACGGTGTTATGAGACCTTCTGTAATTGCATCCCGTACAAAATGACAATCCGCTTCAATATGTTTCGTTCGCTCATGAAACACCGGATTCTTCGCAATGTATAATGCCGAATGACTGTCACAATAGAGGTGCATGCCACTCTCATGTCGCACACCTAAATCTCTCAGAATCCGCTTTAGCCACTTCAACTCACGAGTGCAAGCGGACATAGACCTGTACTCTGCTTCGACAGAGCTCATAGCTACCGTAGGTTGTTTCTTGGCCTGGTTTTCCAAGACACGGGAGACAAACCAAGAAACACAAACCAACCGGTCAACGAACGCCTAGACAATGGACAACTAGCCCAATCCGAATCACACCAACCTTCCAACTGTAGAGCACTATCAGACCTCAGCATAATAACCTGACCTGGACTCTTCTTCAGATATCTCACAACTCGCAGGGCAGCATTCGAGTGCTCTACCCTTGGGCTCTGTATAAACTGAGATAAAATATGCACAGAATAAGCCATGTCAGGCCTAGTGACAGCTAAATAAATCAAACGCCCTATAAGACGTCTATACCGCTCTATATCACCAAATAATTCCCCAACTGCCAGAGCTAGCCTGTGGTTTTGCTCCATGGGAAAATCTGCAGGTTTCACATCAAGTAATCCTGCTTCTGTAATGATGTCCATTGCATACTTTCTCTGACACATGAAAATTCCCTATTTGCTTCGGGCTATCTCTAGCCCTAAAAAAATATTTCAGAACTCCCAAGTCCTTCATTTTAAAACAATTCCCTAAATATGTTTTAAATTGCAACAATGCAGACTTATCATTTCCTGCAACTATTAAATCATCAACATACACAAGCACATTCAGCTACATTTTTTCTCTTGTCAGAGTAAAAAGGGAATAATCATAATATGACTGTTTAAAGCCATAATTTTTCAAAGCCGTTGTTAATTTTGCAAACCAACAACGAGGAGCCTGCTTCAAGCCATACAATGACTTCTTCATCCTGCACACTTTACCAGAATTATTTTTGTCAAAGCCAGGGGGAATTTTCATGTAAACCTCTTCCTCCAAGTCACCATGTAAGAAGGCGTTGTGAACGTCCATCTGATGTACTTCCCAATTCTTTACTGCCGCAACTGCAAGAAAAGTACGAACCATCACCATCTTTGCCACCGGAGCAAATGTCTCATTATAGTCTAGACCTTCAACTTGATGATTGCCGAATATTACTAGTCTAGCCGTGCTCATCATACTTTTCTTTGTAAACCCATTTGCTCCCAAGAGCCTTCTTACCTCGAGGTAAGTCTACTAGCTCCCATGTGCCTTGTTCCTCTAGAACTTTAATCTCATCGGTAATGGCCTTTCGCCATCCCTTATGCCGCATAGCTTCTTTGAAATTTTTCGGCTCACTTCCACATGTAATTGCTGCAATATAGGTTCGATGTTTTGCAGAAAAACGATGAAAATCAACAAAATGTGTTATTGGATAAACGGTACCTGAGGAAGATGTCGCAGATGAACGATTTGATGTGAGTGGACTATTATTCCGAATGGTATGAGTCACAAAATCCTTGAACTTGACCGAAGGAATCTTCACTCGTTTGCCTTTACCCATTTCCGAAGGAATTTCACCTTGCTCAAGATTATCAATGTGAGGTTGTGCTTGGTGCTGCTGCTCGAAGTGGGAAGCTACTAAGCTACTGTCGGGATGCCCCCCCCATACCAGCAGACGCTGGCAACCCAGCGTGTACTTCAGTGCTGCTGGCAGCCTCTGCCGCGGGCAGATCGTGGCTGAGAGGAGTATGCCGCGGGCAGCCCGCGGTGTATTCTGCCTAGGTGCAAATTCCAGCCCCTGCATCATAAATTTCAGCTCTCTCCTCTATATTTTCACGGCCCCCAACTCCCTCATCACCAACACTACAAAGTTCATCATCACTTGCACACATATCATCAAAGTTCACACTTGGGGCAGATTTAATTTCATCAGCAGAAGACATAAGAAAAGGAAATTCATGCTCCAAAAATTGTACATCCCGGGAAATAAAAATTTCTTTTGTCTCCAATTCAAACAATCTCCACCACTTTTTACCAAAAAGGGTACCCCAAGAACACACATTTGCGACTCCTACTAGCAAACTTGTCTCCTTTGCTTCGTTGATTATGGGCATAACACAAGCACCCAAAAACTTTAATATACTCATATGATGGTTTCTTATCAAATAAAGTCTCATATGGAGTCTTAAAATCAAGCAATCTAGATGGAGTACGGTTTATCAAATGACAAGTCGCTTGCACACACTCCCCCCAAAATCGAATAGGCAAATTTGCTTGAAATCTCAAAGCCCGAGCCACATTAAGAATATGTTGATGTTTATGCTCAACACGACCATTTTGTTGAGGCATCCCCACACAAGAAGTTTCAAATATTATCCCATTAGCATTGAAATAAGGTCGCAAGGAATTAAATTTCGTTCCATTATCACTACGAACTATTTTAATCACATGTTCAAATTGACGTCTAATTAAAGCAACAAAGTTAAGAAACATCAATTCAACCTCAGTTTTTTTACGTAATAAATACGTCCACACTCTTGAAAAATCATCAACAATTGTTAAAAAATAAGTGAGCCACAAGATGATGGAGTCTTGTATGGCCCCCATAACTCAACATGAACAAGTTCAAAAGAACGACTTGCTTTATTTGTGCTAACAAGGAAACTACTTCTATGATATTTTGCCCTAAGACATACATCACATGTTTTATTCTTAAGACTCTTACTAGAACTACTCATAAAAGTAAGATGTTGTAAAACCTTTCCCGAAGGATGCCCCAAACGTTGATGCCACAACTCTGTCGATCGACCATTATCTAGCTTCAAAGCCTTCACCGTTGGAACACCTCAGAAATAATATAGTCCATCCACTCGTTCACCCGCTCCAATCACCTTCCTCGTCGTTAGGTCCTGTATAACACAAAGTTTGTTAGTAAATTGCAGAGCACAATTAGATTCATCACACAATTGTGTTGCAGAAATTAAATTGCAATTTAATTGAGGCACATATAGAACATTATTAATCTTCAAGCCCCCTTGCAAAGTCACGGAACCGATTTTAGAGGCATTAGCACTTTTCCCATCCGGTAATCCTACCGGACAATGTTGTACATCACAAACATTCGTCAAAAGGGATAAGTCGCAAGTCACATGATTGGATGCGCCGGTGTCAACAATCCAACCTATTTGATCCTTACCATGAAGCTTAGGTTTCATAGAAGAAAGATGATCTAAAAGCTGCTGTAATTGGGTCGGTGTGACCCCCGCAAGGCCTACTCCATCAGCTGTCGTAGCACTACCTTGCTGCGTGTTGTGGGAAGCAGTTTGCGTGGCTGCTTTGTTAGCACGCACAGGGGCAGGAGGCGCATTACCACGCCCACCCCCGCGTCCTCCTCCATTATTTCCTCCGGAATCACCACGACCCCGGCCTCGACCTCCACGCCCACGGTTACCTCACCATGAAGGGTAACCATGAATTTGAAAACAACCTGATTCATCGTGCCCAACACGATTGCAATGATTGCAAAATTTATCGAAATTGTCACTTGTTCGCTGCGGTTTGGAGGGTGATTCATGTTGTAACTTGAAGGCCATAGGAGCATCACGAGCCACTGCCTGAATTAACTGTTGGTACGACTTATCCACCGAAAGCAGAGGGTTTGGGCTAGCAATTGACCCCTTAGAGAAGTATATGCATCATCGAGACCGATCAAGAAGTGATGAACAAAATCTTCTTAGCGCAATCGTTCCACCTGAGCCACTATATTACATTTACACGCACCACAAGAACAAGTGGGTACGGTAATGTATGTATTTAATTCATCAAAGATCTTTAAAATTCTGCCAAAGTATGCCGCAACACTCTCTGATGCAGATTGCTTGCACTCACCCAAAGCCAGTTATAGTTGACATATGCGTGTACCACTAATAAAAAAAAACGACTTTTAAGGTTTGACCACAAAAGTTCAGCGTCACCATACTCTCCAATGGTAGCTCGTACCGATGAGTCCAAGGTGTTTTTAATCCAAGCAACCAACATCGCATGAACAGCCACCCAATCATCCAATTTGTCATCATCCGTCGGTTTCTTGACGGATCCATCAATGAAGCCATATTTGCGCTTCGCCTTCAACGAGGTTTGAATAGACCTTGCCCACTCATCATAATTCTCACCCCGAAGTTCGTTGTAGCGGAGTTATTATGTTCCCGGGTTCAACACTTGAACCTAGGTGATAAGTCATGTCCACCTTGACTTTTCCTCCATCACCACCTGAGCCGTCACCACCGCTTGCACCTTCGGCCATCACTCACAACTCAATGAAAGTAGGAAAATAAACTGTCAAAGAAGCAGACTCACAAATTCTGAAGGAAAAAAAATCGTGTACCAATTATGAAAATTGAACACAAAAGAAAAAATTAGACCTTTACAAGGCTCTTGATACCATGTTAAATCAGAGGGAAATTATGTAAATATTCTCTGTATTCTTCTCATTAATATTCACGGCCAATACAAATATATATAACACTAGGGGTAACAAACCCCTAAGCCCTACAATATTCTACTATATCTTTTCATAAGATATATTTCCTAAATTATATCACAATAATATCATAGAGTATCTAGAATATCTCTAATAACAACAAATTTAATTACAAGAAAATATAATCATAAATTACAACATACATTAATGATCAATTTTATGTAAAAATCCTGGGCATTGCCCGGGTCAATAAACTAGTTATTTCATTAAAAAGAGGCTAAATTCTACTGCCTCTATTTCTTTTTTTTTGCCCCATTGTCATTTTTAAAGTCAAATTTTAAAAACTTTGACCATAAATTACCGTAAATCTGTAAAAGATAATAGAATTATGACTTATGAGTGATTTTGTTAGATTTGTTTCATCGTATATTTTATTAATATTATGTTTATACAATTTTATGTATATAAACATAAAGATATAGATGTTTTATTACACGTGCTGGGGTAAAAAAAAATAGGGACGGTAGGAGTAACACATTTCACATGTTGAAAGAAAACCCATTGCTAAAAATATATAACACTTTAATTGATTAACCTTGTTCAGCAAGCACCTTAGATAAAATTTAAGGCAATAACAATGACTTAAAGTAATTTGTTACTTCAGCTCCTAATTTCCTTTTCTTATAAAATATTCATTTTAGTTCAGTTCAATGCAGTTCATTTCAATTCAATTAAGTTCTAATCAGTTCAGTTCAGCTCAATTCAGTAAATGTAAACAGGCTCGTAGTCTTTGCTTGATTTGCTTCTTAATCAGGATCATAGTTTTTAATTCATCTCATCATCGTTAAATTGGAACACATATTTAAATCAAATTTCTACCAAAAGTGATAAACAATTGGACAAATGTTTGCTATCTCTGATCACCAAAAATACCGTAGAAGATTGATATAAATCATGTCCGGTTCACAATATTTGTTCTATCTGTAGTCGATTGCAATAACATAATTGTTTTAAAAAATTTAGGATGGATATTTTTTTAAAAAAATATATTTATCATTGAAAATCATTATTAATGTCGTTTTAAAAACAACTAGTGTTGAACACGGGCAATGTCTCGAGTTACTGCATTATTTTCATGATAATTTTTTTTATTAATATTTAATTTTTATTGAATGACATGTAATAATGGTAATAGCTTAGTGGCTAACACATTAAATTTAAACTTTAGGTTGTAGGTCCAAATCTTGTATGAACCATATTTTTAGACATGGAGTGAAAATCGGATTAGATAAAGAGAGCACCACGACGTGACACCTAAAGTTCTTAAGGAGAGTGCTTCGTGGCACCTAAACTTCTTAAGAAACGCCTTTTAATATACAGTATAGATATAAAGTTATTTACTTATTTCTCTTTTTTTAGTTGAATGAAACTTTGCAAAAATTAAGGGTTAAGAAAATTTCCTTTATTTTTAATATATACCTGTAACTTTAAAAGAGTGAGGTGTAGCTCAAGTGGTTAAATTTTTTTTTTTTTGTCGATTCCAAGAGATCTTGGGATCGATTCTCATCATCCATCCTTGTGGTTGCAAAACAATAAATAAATAAATAGATAAAAATGAATTGCTTAAATGAATAGAGTTTAAATGAATTGTTTATGAGAGAAGGAAATTAAGAACTGAATTAAACTGAAACAGATTGGAGTTGAACTGAGAACTGAATCGAAATTAAGCTAAAGAGAATAGGCTTTTAGCCTGCATGGGAAAAATAAGCAAGATGGTTTATTTTCGATGTACAGAGTAATACATTAGACTGATTTTTTAAAAAGTTATTATTGTCTCTTTAATTAGTATCAAACATGTCAAAATTGTTTATAAATGTATAAACATAGCCCTTAAAGGCTATATATAAGAAATTAAAAAAGAAAATATTGAGTATTGTGAATTAACCACTTGAGCGTGGTTATTTCACGTATTTGCGCGTAATTTTGTCATGAATTCTCAATTTAATTCCATTTTACGAAGTCTATTATGTATATTCTGAGAGCGCTTACAACAAAGAAGAAAATCTTTTCTAGAATTTTTTATTTTGCATAAATAATACTCCACCAAAGAAATTCCCCAAAAAAATTCTAGAGATTTTGTGAAACAATCTCTTTGGAGAGTTTTTTTTCTCAATTTCCTTCTACACACATGGCCTAAGTTGATGGTTTCTAATTGTTTTTGTGTTTTTTATTATTTTGTATGGTAAAATGTAAAAAGAGAGTGGTGAGGGAAATTTTGGGTTTATTTTTAGTGGGATAAAAAAAATCTTTTTTAAAAAATTTGATGTGGAGGAGAGAGAGAGAGAGAGAGAGAGAGAGAGAGAGAGAGAGAGAGAGAGAGAGAGAGAGAGAGAGAGAGAGAGAGAGAGAGGGGATGGAATTCATTTTTTTGTTTGGTGATAGTGCTCTAAGGGATACATACACTATTACCCAAAAAATTATTCATAAAGGGTAATTTCATAAAATTGAAACTATTATGAAATTAGTAATTGAAACGGATAATTTTGTCTAATAGTTAATTTTATTATTTTATAATAGAAGTTGAATTTTTTAGTGGATAAGATAGTGATTGAAATTCTTTTAAAGAGTTTAGCAAAAATTGTTGAAACAATGAAATGGTAATAAATATTTCTAGTCAAAGAGTATTGAAAGGTTGAAAGGTAATTGAATAATATCTTGTTTTTTTTTTTTTTTTTGAGGGAATAATATCTTGTTTTCTAATCATGTTTCACTATCTAAATCATTAAGTTGGATCAATTTAAATTTGAAATGACTTGATATCATGCAATTGAATTTGATCATAAATTAGCTATAATAATTAATTAATTGACATTGGTAGTAGTTGAAAAGCAGAAATAAATTAAAAAAAAAATAAAAAGATTTGTAGGACCACTATTTAGAGGCAATTGAACCTAATTAGCACAAAATATGATAAACGATTGGAAAAAGCAAGTTACTTTACTCCATAGTTTGGACTACTCTCATATACAAAGTACGAAGTATATAATATATATATACACGTATTATCAGAGATTGAAGTGATGTCATTTTTATATTATTATTATTATTAAATTATGAATTTATATATTTCAATCAAAGCACTATATAAACGGAGTACAATAAAATACAAGTATCAAATGGACAGTTCACCAAAGGCAAATTATATCAATTGATGATTTGATGTATTGTCTATCTAATTATTGGAAAAAAAAGGCACCAAAAATAAATAATGGGGAAAAAAAAAATTACTCCGTATTTGCCATAAATGAAATTCCTAAGTGATCCTACATTAGCAAGATGGTCTCCAAAAAAACAATTGCACTAGGTTAGTTTCCGTGCTATGCATAGTAATTTTCAATAATTTTTACTATTATTATAACTAGAGTGTACCTGTGCTCATGCACGGGATATATGTAGTATATATATTTAAGAGAAAAAAAATGGTAGAAGTGATAGTTATTAAAGGGTGGTTATTATTATTATTATTATTATTATTATTATTTTTTAATAGAGGGCTAGATTTTAATTAAGTAATATGGGTAGTTATGAGTAAAAATGGTGGATATTGGTTTTTTTTTTAAAAAAAAAAATAGAAGGGCTAGAATTACAAGGATGAGAATTTAGAGGGCTGTGAATGAAAGTTGGAAAAAAAAAACTCTGCAATTATATATTAGACTAGAATGTGCCCGTGCTAATGCACGGGTTATAATTAAGGATAGGATTTAAAAAAATACAAAGTATATAGATGCAAATGGTATTTAATAAAACCAAATATAATAACAACAAAAACCAAAAAAATGAAAATTGATTACAAATTATAAAATAAAAAAAATAATAAAAAAAAAACCAAGTGTTGAATTCATATAAAAAAAAAAAATTTAAAGTCTTGAAATATTATGCTAAATTAATCTAAGTCTTCAATTAGATTGTCCATGCATCTCTCGTTTCAGATAATAGAATTCTTCCTCCCATCTTACTTGTAAAACAAATGCAACTATGATATCATTATTTCCTATCTCAGGAACATGTAGTATGAAAGTGAATATATTCATCAATCGTTCACTCAGATACTCCTCTAGAAAGTAGTCTCCAAATTCCTGTTCATAAATAACAAATGTAGCCATTATGTCTGTGAGTAATTCCTTAATATATATGATTAAAGGATATACTTACATTATTTGTCATCGCTTGAATACTTGATATTGGACAACCTATAATCATCTCAGCATATTGGCCAAACAGTGTTAACAGACATTGTATTTGTAGCGTCACCAATTTTTACATTGATTCTATATCTGTTATTATTGATATGATATAATTAGGTATAGTGATATGTAAAGCAGGTTATAATTATAATTTTTAAATAAAATAAAAAAAGTGAAAATACCTTGGCCTACTAAAAGAAGGGTCACACTCCACGCACATATCAGCTCTCCTTAAGTGTCGAGCACATGATTCATACCAAATAGGCATAGAAGAATCAATAGATAACACCTTTGCTAGTACTCGAAAGTATTTTACCTGGAAACACACATCAAATATTAAATACCTCATGTATAAGAAAATGAAATCAATAATTATTGATATACATACATTATGAGCCGCTGAAAACTGATTTAACTTGATCCTTTTTGCATTAAACACCATTTCCATTTCAGAGATACTATTGGCTAATATCTGACTCTAGCTGATTTGTTTTTGGACATATCCATCATCCGCATACCTACATGAGTTATATAAGTACATAAGTATGCAATATAAACTTACATTGTATATTATGATGTTTTTAGGCTTACCAGCCATGTAGATCATCAGTTTCATCAATATCAGGGTCAATAAAAAGTCTGGTACGTCCAACAGTAGAAAAACATGCACCTATTGGAAGGTTAGTAAAAGTATTCAAAGTAATGATAATAATGAAAATGACACCATAACCTTTCCATGGTTATATAATTTTAAAAAACTTATTTTACCATAATAAGAGCCAACTGATACCATGGATGCACCCAACACATGATCCTGATTAAGCTCATTGAATAAGAAACGACCTTGATCATAAGCAAACCCTTCCCGTAAAGTTAGCCTCATTGTTTCCATGCTGTAAATCAAAATATATCATTAGATTTTTTTTTTTTAAAAAAGAAAAAAAAAACTTAACATTGCATAAGTTGTTATAATTACATAAACATATTGTAACTTTTGTAATATGCTCTTACTTTGTGTTGCAGAGTAACACGTCTCTTTTGAATTGTTGTCTCCCACCCGAGACTCTATATGATTCAGACACATATATAACCAATCCAATAACATCTGTGTACATTCATCATCAAGAAAAAAAGATCGGATATAACCTTCAGAACTCAAAAATAATTTTAAAAATGCAATAAATATTAGTACTATTTATTTTAATTACTAAAAGACACATACCGATGAGAGGACTATTGCGCATGTGAAGGTACTGTGGAATGTGGCAAAATTCAATAAACATGAAATTGTACCTTGGGATATCATCACAATCATCAAGAATTTCTGTTATCATGGTCTTGTTGCCAAATTTCAACCTCATTTGGTTATTGGAATATTTGTAAGATGTATATAGAGGCATAAGATCTAGCTGAGCAATTGAATAAACCTTTCCTTGTTTCAAGATCTCTTTATATTTATCAATGTCAGCATTAAATAGTGTGATTTGAACTTCGTCCCCCTATAAATTGAAAATTTGATACATACATAAGTGTCAAATAAATGAATATATATTGAAAAAAAAGGAATCACTAAGTAAAAATATAGTTCAAACCTCTGAGTCAATGAATACCATGCTCCACGAACGATGGACGTAATTTGTACCTCTAGCTCTACTTTGCTCATTGACCATCCAAATATAAACACACTCTCATATTCACATTCAATGTTGTAAGGGTAATACAACGACATGGTGTGTATCTTGTGTTCATTTCCTGCATTTTAATATCATTGAAGTGGGCATAAAAAATAATTTACATAATATATCATTATTGATCCAACCTCGCACATGTATAAAGGTTACATAAATAGTATCGATAATGAAATAAATCTTTAATAAAGTAAAATAGAAGAATTAACATGACAAAGAAAATCTAATACATAAAAAAAATAGTATAGCTCTGAAATTACAATAAAACAAACATTGCTAAGAGTTACTAAATAAATGTTATAACAAAACTACATACATAGCTAATTTACATTGTTTAATACTTCCTTATACACAATATTTTTAGTCAAATTGTGTAAAACATCCTTCTTATTTTGTACTAAGATTTTTAGCTCGGAGGGAGATGTAACTCGTGACATTGCAACATATAATTGGCCATGACTAAACACGGGCCTATGGAGAAAAATGCCAACTTTGCTCAACGTCTGTCCTTGGCTCTTATTTATTGTCATGGCAAAGACTAATTTTAATGGGAATTGCCTTCTTTTAAGAGGGAGATCTATCTTCTTGTTGGAAGGTGTTAAATCAATTCGCGGAATTAGAACTGATTCTTTAGCTCTTGGACCTATGATCACTTGTGCCTCAATCACTCTGTAACCCAATTTCTTGATTATAAGACGTGTTCCATTGCACAACCCTATGGTTTGGTTCATATTTCGCATCAATATTACCGGGGCACCAACTTTCAACTCTAAGCAATGATTAGGAAGACCCGACAAATTTAATGAGTTTAATAATTCCATAGGCTCCATGTTATCAAGGATCCCACCATCTCCTGTATGACCCAAAGTATCCGAACTATAGTAGCTATGCACATTTCCTGGTAGCATTGATAAAATTTTCGAATTTAACTCATCTACATCGTTGTTTGTTGGTGCTAGAATTCCGCGATCCTTGAGGTACTCCCAATCCATGTAATTTAAAGGCAAGTTTGGATAGACAAAGTTAATGAGATTTTGCAAACCATGTTAATCATTAGTTATCAAAAAATCACGTGGTATTTCAATCCAATTTGGTTCACCTTCCTCTGTAATGGGCACTCCTGCTATAACTCCTCCTCCAACTTTAATTATCCAATAAGCAAATTCTCGAATTTGTTCAAGGGTATCAGAGGGAACGTCACTTCGCCATAAACGCATGTTTATCATTAGACACATAACTTAGCAGTCTCTCCAAAAGGACGCTCGATGCAAGGTAGCTGCAACAATAGATTCTCGTCCTTCATCTGGCACCACAGGAAGTATATGTCTGAAGTCTCTACCAAGAACAACCAATTTACCTCCGAAAACTCTATAGTCACTATAAATATCCTTGAAATGTCGATCTACCGCCTCAAATTCTAATCGATGTGTCATTGGAGCCTCATCCCATACAATTAATGATGCTTCACGGATCAAATCAGCACGAGTTGAGTCTTTTTTGAAGTTACAAACGGAATGTTGATTAGGATCAAAAGGAATCTTGAAAGTCGAATGTGCGGTTTTACCCCTAGGCAATAATAAAGCAGTAATTCCCAATGAAGCCACAGAGAGCACGATCTTTCTTTCAGATCTGAATTTCGCAATCATAGTGTTCCACAGGTATGTCTTTCCTGTCCCACCACTGTCGTAGACAAAAAAAAGCCACCTACATCTCGAGAATGAGCATCGAGTATTGCAGCATATACTCTATATTGATCCGTGTTTAACCCTTTAACTAAGGTATCAAATCTGTTGGCTTCATCATGTGTGTCATATTCAAGTTCATCTCTTATCAACCGATTTAAGGCATTGCGTGCTAACTCCGAAGAAGGTTGTGGCATGTCAGGGAAATCTGTCAATGACCTTCCAAGTTTATTCAATATATGCTCAATCTCTTGTAATCCTTGATTCTGCATCTCTTCGGGAGTTAATCGTAAGTTAGGGTTTCTAGTTTGGCGTTGCATCATTCTCTCGAGGTCATCGGTAAGTTCACCCCAATGTTGTTCCCACAACTGTTTCGGATCACTTACTTCTGAAAACATCAATATGGAGCAAAACATGTTTCTCAACTGTGAACCCGATGCCCAGTTAGAGGCTTCTGACAGAGTTTCATGCCACTCATTATCGTCGTCAAGCAACCCTGAGGCATGACATGCAGATCTAAAGGTAGGGTGGATGGCACCATCAACAGTTCGTATATCTTCAAAACATTCCGCTCCACAAACCTTAGTTAAAAGCATCCGTAAGTAATATCGTTCCCCAGAATTTGGATGAACAAAAGGCAATCTACCAATGCAAGGTCTTTCTTGCCGTTGTGCCTACCTTTTTGTAGAACGATTCCATGTAAATCCCATAGGAAAATTTTGGTAAGTGTATTGATTTGCTTCTGGAAAATCCTTATTAGCTTGAAACCACATAGTTAACATGGTTTGTTGCAATCTCGGTCGTTCAAGGACTCTGTGCAGATCATCATTATCATTGAAAACTACAAATTGTTCACCAGGTAGATGAAACTGAAGTAGTTCCATTGAAGGATATTGATGTTGCAAATCAAACTCAAATATTCTCCAGCATGCTTCAATGGCCGATACATATCGACAATCTAAGTACTGTTTTATCTCATCCACTCTGTTTCCTTTTCGTACCTCTTGACCATGTCGTGTGGTTGAATTGTTTTCAATGACAACCGTTGCTCGATCTTGACCTTTAGTAACATACTTGTATAGATACTTTACCACACTTCTCACAGCAACACGCTCAACATTTATGTGTGCATTGTACTTAACACATAGATCTCTATTATATGGTACCACCCAACGATTATCTACCTCCCTTCCATTAACAATGATGGGCTCTCTATGTTGTCTACGTCTATAATGCACAAAGCCATTATCATCAAAGCTGATTTCAGTACAAAATTTCTTCGGGAAATTTTTTGAACACTTTCCATCAACTAAACATGGCCCACATGGTCCATGGAGCATGTTCTTGGTAATTGTTTCAAATGCCAAAGGATCTATATCCTTGTCAGGGATTTCCGCAGAGATAATTACATCGATATCCTCTGAACACTTAGGTTTATCTTCTGGTTCCAATGTTATGAGAATATGCGCATGTGGAAGTCCGCGCTTTTGAAATTCAATGACATAAAATCTGACACATGAGACATGTCCCATGTTAATTAATTAAATATGTCAAAACAATATAGTACGATTACATAATTAATCAACACAACTCACCAGCAATGACTTTTCCAAACTTCTTGTTATCCTTCAAATCGCGAAGCCTTTGTTTCAATTTGATCTTGAAAACACGTGCTACAATGTCTGGTCTATCTTCAGTGCGACGACTTCCACGTGTAGATATCTCATTTACAATCTCAGGCCAGTTTGGATTGCAAGTGAAAGTTATAAATAAATCAAGCGGACCCAAAATGCGAACAATTGCCATAGCATCTTGATAATGATGGGCCATATTACGGGGGCTTCATGTGAAGGATGATGGTAATATGAATAATCGACCTACATCAGTAGCATTGACATCTCCAGCCCTGATTGCATCTTGGAGTCCACTGTATAAATCAGAGCGAAGCCTGCCTTGATTTCTCCTCATCCATGATAATCGATATTGTTCCATTTCAGCGTATGCATCAACATCAAATTATTGCAATAAGCGCCCGGAATCTATCAAGGTGTCACCCTCTTCTTCCCTATCATGTATCCTAAATGCGTAGAATTGTCGTATTGTCACTGTACTTCGACTTGTACCGTATGGAAACAGTAGTGGGTATTGTAAAGGCATATAACTTGGATGAGTTTCATCAATCCTTTGTAACCCACCATCTATTTTTTGCAATATGATATCTCGATTTCCTATGTCTTTAGTTCCATCACCTACCATCAATGCAGCCACTTCACTTGTGGTTGGTTGGATATATTGTCTGCCTTCTCTTGCGCAAATAAGCTTAATTCTCAAATCTTGATGCTCACCTTGATCGCGCAACATATTGCCAACATTTCTGAATACTGTGACATAAGGATTTATATCATCAAGCATCATTTTTAGTCCTTGTAAAATTCCTGGATCTATGGAAGAAGCTTCCGCGCCCCCCATGTGATGTAGTCGGTTGGATGTTTCATTGTCAGTATCATAGATGTACAATTGTGCAAACTTTGGACCTGTTCCCGGCTCAGGGAGTAAAGTTCCAATTCGATGGTAATTACTACCACTTATACGATAGACATAGGGGCCTCTACCATCATTAACAGTGTTATCAATCCGACCGCCCATAGAGGTGAAAGCTAACATAGAGTTGAAAGCTCTAATATTGTTTCGGAATTGCTGATGTGGCAAAAGTGACATTAAAAATGGCGGTGTCAAAGGTAAAAGCGGCAATATAACTTGCCCACTTTGACAACAGTGATTGAACCTTGGGTGTGTTTTATTGCTACTCTTTACCCTTTCTTCTATCCACATAAGGGCCTTGCAATCAGGACACACAACCGTTCTAGGTCCAAACTCCCAACGTCTATCAAACCCATCGGTACGACGACATTGATGAGTCACTTCTGCATGAAAATTATTTATTTTAGTGAATATCAATTAACATTGTCGACATCACTTATGTGTGTCGTTAAGCAGCTTGGCAAAGTGGTTACCTCTCCTTCCGAAAATTTGCTCATCAGGTCTAGCATCATTGTCTATCCCCTCATTAGGTGAGCTTTTTGGAATGAAAGTTTTTAAAAATTTAATAGAATCCTGAATGCAAGGTATTAGTATTACTACTATAAAGTAAATATTAATGGTTCTTATAAGTACCATTTATATTGATCTCATTAGGAAATTGCTCCACTTCACGTGTCACATCGTGATATTGATGTGTAGATCGACGTAATTGCATCCAATCATTAGGTGAGCTTTCTGGAATGAAAATTTTAAAAATTTAATAGAATCATGTATGCAAGGTATTAGTATTATAAAGTAAATATTAATGGTTCTTATAATTAAGTACCATTCATATTGATCTCATTAGGAAATTGCTTCACTTCACGTGTCACATCGTGATATTGATGTGTTGATCGACGTAATTGCATCATTAATAGTCGCAAGGATCGTGCTTCTTTCTCCAATAAGTAACGACGTTGCTTGAAAATAGGATCTTCATGGTTTGTAGTGCGTTTGAATAGTAACCTTCGCCTAACAGCTAATCTAGCATATTTGTGTTGCAAATTCTCTCTGAATCGATAATTACTTGAATGTATGTCCATTCTAATCTCTTAGTTATACAATAATCAAGAGATAAATATATAAGAATCGATATTATAGTTTGAACAACATCAATTAATAGAAGTAAGTTGTAACAATTTACAATGTTATAATCCTAGTAGTGGCAAATTAATATATGTATGTACTGTAGTGTAGTGGCAAATTAATAGCATATCCTTCTATGAGCAGATAAAATCCTGAAATTACCTAAATATACATGCTCATTCACATTATCAAAATTAAAGAAAAATAAATTGTTCATACCCGTAGGGTGTAGAAATTTAAGATAAAGGTGAAATGCAGTCAACGGAGTGTTTTATATACTGTAAAAAAATGGAACAATAATTTAAATTAATGAACGATCTCAAACACCAACTCCATTTCTACGTACATTACAAAAAATAATGAGTCACGTGTAACTCTAATTAACTTCATTTCCATTTCATTTAAAAAAATGCTCAAACTTTCATTTTAAAAAATGCTCAAACCTATTATTGAATTCTACTTTACAGAATGAAATAGTAGTACAATCGTGGTCAAGGGATCAACATTGTTATTGCTAATCCTCAATTAAGAATAAATGTTGTTATAGACTTGTATAAAAAGGTTGTTCATATAATTGTCTGTAATGTTTGATTTTTTAGAGTATGTTTGTACAAAATTAGTAAAGTTCGGAGTAATATTTATTTTGTGTTTTTTTTGTACAAAAAAATTAAGTTGGCAAAAAAGAGGAAATGATTTTTTTTTTTTAAAATGCAATATATATTTTGTGTGTTTTTTTTAACAAAAATATTTTAAGTGGCAAAAAAAGGAAATGATTTTATTTTTTTGAAAAAGATAACAATTGCAATTTACGTAAAAATTGATTTCAATGTAAAAACTATTGATTAGCAGCGATAATATTAGATTTTTTTTGGAAGAAATATTATGCAGTATTTATTCTGTATTTTTTTAACAAAAAAAAACGATTACATAATATGATGGCACATTCCTTATTCACTTTCCAACTTACAGTAAATGATTGACGGGTAATACACTCAATCAGGATAGACAATATTGTAACAAAAGACATTATGTAATGTCTAATCGATAATGATTAGAAATCACCGCTTACATAGATTATTAAGGTAGACCCCTTATGAGTCTATAAGTACAGAGACACTTTGTTGGGGTTTTGAATGATAGACAATATTGTTAGTATTAAGAATTTAATGTTGAAACTACACTCTAGAATATGCATAACAAAATTTGAAAAAATTTAACCCAATAATAAATACAATATTTATCTTTGCTTACAAAATACAATAATATGCATAGGCAACAAAACTGATATCTAGCAAACAAAATACAATATTTATCAAGCAAATAAAATACAATATTTATCTTTGCTTTTAATTATATAAATATCTATAGCAATATATAATTACTCAGTAAATAAATCCAAATTTCTGCAAAAACCAAAAAAAACAAAAAAAAAAAAAAAAAATTCCTCTCTGCCACAAATTTCTCAACGCCAATCTCCTCTTTTTGTTTTTGCCCATTTATTTATACTTTATATTATTTCTCTGGATTTTATATTAGATGGATTCAAAATATATAATATGTAAGTTATGAAAGAGGAAGTAACTCATTCTAGAATATGTTATATAATGGCATATATAAAATAATGGAAATATAATATGTTATGAAATATACATCTTTAATATAATAACTAATGTGATAATATGCTATTTCCTTACATTAAAGGCATATATTATATGAAAGATATAATTTGATATAATCTAATGTGATAACGCATATTAAACTATCTTATATGAAAGATATGCCTTTATATTATTTATTTTTTGATATATATATTATATTTTTTTATATCCATTAAAAAATAACTAATAATGTTTATGGGCACATTCTAGAAATGCTGTATTAAATGCAGTATAAAGTACTCCGTATAAAGGCATACTCTTTCATAACCCAGAAATATTATTTATGCTATTTCCTTTTATAAAGCCAATATCTCTAGATATAACTCATTTCAATACGATACAGAAACTCAAACTGGATTCTTGAATTTCTGGGTCATGCTATTTCCTTCAAACGTCTGCTCGAATTGGAGCCCTTAATTAGATATTCTGCAGTTGTGGGTTCGAAATTCTGCTTTCAAGCTTAAAATTCTGCAATTTTGGTTCATTATACTACATTATGGTTCGAATTTTTGCAGTTTTAGGGGTCGAAAATCTGGGCAGGTTTGTGATCGAATTTTTGGGTATTTTGTGCTCGATTTTGAGTGGATTTTCACACCAAGGTGTTATTTTCAATCATGGCTTTGATTTTTCTGGTTTTCTTGCTTGATTTTTCTCGAAATTCGGTGCTTTTTTTTACATTCCTTCGAGGTATTTCATTATAATTTGTTCCAATATTGTTGATATATGCTCTATGTAGTTGTGATAATTTCTAGCAAAAGTTGTGTTTACCTTGAAATTGGGGAAGAAGGAGACGAATTAGTGAATCCACGAAAAGGAAGAAGGCAACGGCAAAGACGACGCAGAAAACGATCGCTGGAATTGTGTGAGCCAAATGTTGGTTACCTGATTGAAACCCCAAAAAATCAGATTTCTGATTTTTTTTTTTTGTGTGTGAGTGATATTTTTTTTTTGTGTGTGAGTGAAATGAGTATTGCAAAGTATGTATTATATAATCCATACTCTATTAATCTGTTGTAGTGTGTGTAGTTATGGAGTAGTGTGGTGGAGTGAAGATAACTGCCTACCACGATGTTTTTCCTTTTTTTTCTCTCTTTTTTTGTTTTTTTTTTTGTTTTTTTTTTTTTTTTTGGTTTTTGAAATTCAAATCTAATACTCAGTAGAGTAGACTGTTTGTAGAGATTAAGTGGAAAAAACGGGAGTGAATGGGAGTTTAGGAATGGGGATTTGGAGCACTCTCGTGAAAAGTTACTGTAGAATTATATATTAGATTAGTTTTTTATGAAGAAAAAAAAATCTAAAAAATATAGTTGACAAATTTTAATCAAAAGGTTATGAAAGATATGTTAGATATAAAATGATAGTAGAAAATGATCGAAAGTATGTTAATTATTAATTGAGTTAAAGATATGCTAAATCTTTTTTATTTTAAGTAATTATATTGTACAAGATTTTGGAGTTATTTTGTATAAGATTTATTTCTTTAATACAATTTTATAATAAAAAAAAACACACTAAGGACACATCAGGAGATAACACGTGTCATTGCTGGTGTGTCTTTTAGTATATAGTTATTGATTGATTGATTGATGATTACTTCGTAATATCACTTCGTACACAAAGCTAGTGAGCAATAAAACCGAGATCCCATTCTTTTAAGTTGAATTGATCCACTTAATTGGAAGTGAGCTGAATTAGTAATGCTTAATTGCTTCGTCATTATGCTTTTCTTACCTCTCGATTACGGTCTGTTGGGTTGCAGAAAAAGCTTCCATGGCATGCTGGCGTTGTTGGCTTTGGTCGAGCCTTTGCGGATGCATTGAGTCTGTTTAATGGAACGGTTAAGTCTGACATTTTGAGTAATCCTAGTGAGGTTGCTGCCCTTAAAATCATGAAAAAATTGGTAGATATATACTCCACAAAGGTTACCACTTCTACAAATTCACCTCCTCTTTATCTCACCGACAATCAACATCGTGGAAATTACAGCAGGGAGATCACACCTCCGCTTGGCTTCGGGCGGTTTTTATTTTATGGTTAGGTCAGGTGATGAACGCAAAGATGTGTGTTATGCTACTGCTTGGGTGTTCCATTGTTCTCTGTATTGATGTCGTGCTCTGCTTTTAAGGGTTTTCACATGGATATATTCGGTGATCACGCGGTGTCGTGTGCTAGTATGGTGGGTATTAAACATCGGCACAATGTTGTTCGGGATATTTTTATTGATGTTTGTTATCGATTAGGGATTTCAGCAAGAAAGAGATTGACATTGAGTTGTTTGGAGGGAACGACAGGCTCTTAGACCTATAGATGTGTCACTTTATTCTTGGGATTGTGGTCATGATCTCTGTGTTGATTTGATAGGGTCTTATCCTTTGACACAATCTGATCGATCTGACTTTGTTCCTGGAGGGGTTATAGCTGATGCAGCTCATCGAAAACAGGTCAAATTGAATCTAGTTTTCGAGCGATTGGATGTGGATTCCTTCCCTTCTCCTTCTCTTCACTTGGAGAATTAGACAAGGAGACTGTTGCGTTGCTAAAGCGGGATCAGAAATTCTCGACAACTCAGGCATTGCGGCTCGTGTTGCAGGTCATATTTTTACTAAGATAGACTTTTCTATAACTAGAGGAGTGGGGGCCCATATTGTATATCGACTTTGATGTACACGTTCTATACCATGTTTTAACCTCATTTTATAGCTATTTTCGTATGGTTTTTGAGCTCTACGGAGCTACTTCTCGCTAATATTCTCTTCTCTAGTGTGGCTTGTATATTTAATTGATTTTGTAGGCACATGAAGATTTTCGGATGATTTGGACTTGTTTTGGATAGCCATGAGAGCTTATTAATATGGAGAGAATTTTACCCGTGTCCGCCCTGGAGGGCAACATTGCCCTGGAAGCCAGGGCGAAGAAGGACAGAAGAGAAGCCACAGGAGAGAAAGTATGAAGAGTTTGAAATCTATCCGCTCGGATCGGGCAGCATTGCCCGGGCAGCCCGGGCAGACGAGGTACTACACAAGGAGGCTACGTGAAGAAGCATTTAGGCGAGTTTGTCTGTCGCGCCCGACCAGGCAGAGTGTCGAAGACCCTGTTTTCCTATTTTTTTCAGGATTTCTTAACTAAGGGATATAAATACCCTTTGTAAAACCCGACTTAATATACTTAATTATTACTTTTTAGCAGCTTTTAACATTCATTAGAACCCTAATATTATCTCTATATCTAGATTAATTTGCACTTTCAAGTTTTTATCTTTGTTCATCAACAATTGGTACTTTTCTTCATTCAAGCAATTG